CATCGCTCGCCGTGGTAACCTACCCGGTGGCATGCGTAACACATGTCCCAGCCAGCGTAATCTATGGAGATCGACCACTTGCTCCAGTGGGCGACCGTATTTACCCAAAACTCTGTCCCTAACCTCAGCATTGCTCATCCGGCTACCCCACCAGATTCGTGCAATGCTGCGTAGACAGTGGTGTTCAAACGCCGACAGTCTGTCTTTATCTTGTTTTCTTAATGGCCAAGTTTCTGCACCGTATAGCAGAACTGGCCGAACTGTCGCGGTATACACTCGACCCTTCACAGACAGCCGGATGTCGCGACGGCGCCACAGATGTCTCAAGTTAGCAAATGCCAACCGAGCCTTCTGTATGCGAGCTGACACTTCATCCGTGATGCGTCCACCGGGTGAGGTGTAGCTGCCCAAATAACAAAACTTATCCGCTTGCTGTATTACTCCCCAGTTAGAGTGCGGCTGGGTGCTGGACCAACCCAGTCTTGAAGTAACATTTTGCACTCTGAAGGTGTAAAACGCATACCAAACATGGCTACACTGGCGATCAAGCTGTTAAAAAAAGCTTGCAACTTATCTGGATCTTCACTTAGTAGTACAATGTCGTCTGCATGCTCTAGATCAGACAGCTCGCCACCTGGGAGTAAATCGATGCCACTATCTTCGCACGAAAATCTATAACGAAGTTCAATAGAAAAGGAGAGAGAGGGTAACCCTGACGAACATCACTTTCCGTAATGATCTCGGGCGAAAAACTGCCGTGTTATATGTATCCTTTACGTAGCGGAATCGAGTAACAGGGTGAATCAGGCAGGTGAGTAAAAATTCTATTCCGCGGAAGGACACATGTAGAGAAAACTTCGGTACAACCCCTGACAGTTCCGAATAGTGACCCAGAAATTGGGAATTAGATCCTCAACGAGTTCACTGAGATCTGTGAAAAATTCGAATTGCAACTCAATTTCACTGACAGTAAGATAAACAAGTCGAAACAACCAGTGTTCTATCGTGATTACGAGGAAAACACGTGGAACCATTTCACTTACAAGGATCCGTTTGTCCATCCCGTATACATGGTCTTGTTCGGCAAGAGTTTTACGACGATTGAAGTGATTCATCACAAAGGCAATTCCAAACATTCGAATGGAAGGAGAATAGATCATAAGCTGCAGACGAGAGTTGGCAAAAAACAAATGGAATCAGTGATTAGCGAAAAAGCAAAGCGAGAAAATTTTTCGGAGGCTCGTACTTCTATCCACTTTTTCCTTGAAAATAATTTTATTCATATGGTTTAGCTATATCCTTATTTATCCATTATTAACGAATTACAGAGGTAGTACTGAATAAATCAATATGACCCTTTAGATGGTAGTTGTTTTGTATCGTTGTTCGACTCGACGGTGTTACTGAAGCTGAGCGAAATCACGCTTTATCCCCAAACACATGCACAACACCGTGATCAGAATGCGATCCAGTAGACGATGATGCGATTGGTTTGGATGAACTGGAACATATGTCAACATATTTTCCAGTGGTGTTGTACAGTGTACTTACTATCACCCATCAGAAGCAAACACAACATCAACACAAGGCACAATTCTTGAAACAGAGCAGACAATGTATTCAGCGCAAAACAGTGACACAGTGGTGGCGGACCGGGGACATAAATTGGACGCCAATGTATGAAATCACTCAGCGAGAGATTACGCACAGGAACACGAGGCAGATCTGAAAACTACAGAGTGAGCAACTGAGTAGCAACAGTAGCTGTCTAGTCAAGCACTGGATACCACACCCACTAACACTGCTAAAATTCTCCCATTTAAGAACTTGAGCACATGAAAGTAGTTTTGATACAAAGTGACTATATGGTTGTGCATGTTGTCGCAGCTGTTTTCACTCCGTGGGCTGATTATTCATGACAGATAATTTTGCACTTGATGCGATGGCTCGACTCAACTGTTAAAAGTATATTTCACAAAGAGGGGATTCCCTATTTAATTTCCTTCAGGATATGCACAGTTGTATACAACTACATTTGGAGGATGACAGCATTAGTGCAAAAGTCAACTCCCATGGAACTTTCTTTTATTAATATGAAGTTAAGTCACCCTAAGGGTGAATTTTCAATTTGCGAACTAATACAGTGAATATGTGACACTTGCAATTAAAAAATATTAGATACTGCAGTACATAAAAAAATTATTGCAAGAGTCTTTCCCTATGGTGGGTGACAGTCGTCGTACAATTAACCAAAAGAAGAGCAAGGTATGGAATTACACTAATTCCGTACGAGGATAAATGTGCAGGAACAATATGGTATTTTGAGCGAGGTCGAGGATTCGACGCGGCTTTCATGATTTCGGAATGCAGACAGTGACTCTGACGCATATTATCCCATCAACGAACGTGTAAAAAGTGCTGAAGTGCTTGGAAACAAAAACTCCACCCAAACAACTGTATCAATTCCACTGCAAAGGGACAGAAGTTTAAAGGATTTGAAGAATAAGATGAAAGGGTTACAGGAGGGAAAAAACTCAAGGTACAGATGTGCTACTGGGACAGAAATAGGCACCACGTGCCAATAATAGTAGTATTGTACAGTCCCGTTGATCAGACTATCCTACAAGGGGCTGGCTAGAAACCATCGGACAGTAATCTTCAGACGAAAAGTCGCATGTGGATTTCAGTTCTCGCGGATTTGGCAGTAAAAATTATTATTATTATTATTATTATGAAAATAATACATCCATATACAAGTACTTTCTTCAATCTTAAAGGCCCCCTGCACTATAAATAATCGTAGGATATTCAACAAACGGAGAAGGAATGCAAAGCAAAGGAAACAGCACTTACTCGCCACAAACATGTATAAAAGAACTTGGGTCCCACGGCGGCACAGAACATTTCAATGGTACGGTTCCCACGCTCGAAAAATTCCGCGCCTTGTTCTAAACCCGGCAACAAGCCCTGATAGTTAAAAGAATGACAGAAAGCGTGATCATGTTATCTCAAATTTATCGTGAGTGAAACGAGTAAGTGATTGAGATGTAACAACATGAAGTAAGCTCAGGAGAGCATGACAGTAGATGATAAATCAGAATCTGGAAGTAATGAGATAAACTGAAAAGTTTTTAACCAAAAAGGTTATCATATAGATAAATTGCGCCGGAACAAACCGTAATCTATCCCGGTACTCCGTACATTTTAGGCTTGTCTCTTTTTTTCAAGAACCGCGGACATGTGGGACGTTCCATCCATGTTTTGAAGCGTAGAATCAACAAGTGTTGTTTTGGATGAAAGGTTTTTCACTCTCATTGATCAGTAATCCTAAGGAATAGTGAGCTTACTCATGTACGCAAATCATGATTGTTATACAATAAAAAGTACGTTAAGTGTACCAGAGCAGAATTGGGCCCTTGACGCGTGCACTATGGATTGAACAAGAACATGTAATGTCAGATCACCCTTTTTCGGAGTGGGTTTAATCGAAGTAAACCGAGCTTGCCTCGAAGTCAAATGGTTGATCGGCTGTTTTGAACTGAGTAACTGGAATAGGCATAGGCAAGAACCATAATTGTTTTCAATCGAAGCCCAGGACGAAAGGATCCGCTACTAACCGATCTGATCGACCGTTCAGTAATTGTTTACTTATCATGTTAGTAAAGGCTTGTTGTTAGAAATGGCAAATCTACTGAAAGCAGTCATTAGGGTTGTGATTACCACTCACTTCATGGAGGCCGAAATTATCCTTGAAGTAACAGTCGCACCCTATCGAGGACCCAACTCACAGTTCAAATTCATACGGTGTTCGGTGTTTTATATGTAGGTCCGACTGACAACAAATTGAGGCTGAATTCCTTTTTTGAAGTCATACCAGCTCAACGGGCTACAGGGCGAATTCCGGGGGTTTCCTTGGAGGCTTTCTATAGCCGTCCAATGAGATAACGGCCTTCCGTGCTGCTGACAGGTGACGATCACTCCTCAATGATCTTTGGGTCATTGTGGTAAACCTAGTATGCCAGGTTAAGTTCGGCTATCGTGGCCGGAGGACCGTATTTCAGATGGGCACAAAAATATTTACCTTTCGAACGACAAGAGCCAATGGTGTGTAACGAATTTTGAGTATTTCGAAAGGTTAAACGCATAATCTCCATGGGGCATAGCATCCCAACTCAAGAGTGAATACTAGGGTTGCACAAAATAAATCGCTTCGGGATTTACCGCTAACCTTGTGTGCAATGCGAGTTTGGCAGCGATCAGTGAAGTTCGCTGTACGATGATGATGATGATGATGATGATGATGCACCTACTGCTGGTCTGTCCGCCTGATTGCGCTTTCAGGTCCCTACTTGGTCCCCGGTTCATAGACCTATTGGGTGAGTACATGTTGCGAATATGCTTGCTGCCTAATTCACTACGTCGCTACTTAATTGTCCAACCAGAACATAACAGATGGCTATCAGGTTGGCGGTTGTTCAACACATAGGTTATCTCTCAACTCTCAGGGGCTCCTGGCAGTGTTATTACAGGCGAGGAGCGAGTGCATGATGACCGAATGTAGATTCTTTTAAATTTTTTTATTGCACACCAGTGTGTGATGAAGAACAGACGCGGAAAGCCTCATAGTCACGAAGACCTGCTGTTCAGTGATGGTAACCGGCAACCTGATCCCCGAAACTTGGAGTGGCGAACCACATAAGGCCCCGATAGGTCAGGCGTGGTATAGAACCGCCCGACAGCAAAGCTGTCTACCATCAAAGCTGGGTGGTGGTGGCGGGGCTCGCACCACAGGGTCACGCCGATGACAGAGACTAAACCACTGCATCACCATCACCCATCGCTACGTTCAACCATTTTTACATTTATGCTCTCAAGACACTATCAAGATTGATGTGTATTTCACCCATCAGACGGGCAATATGTGTATATGTATGTATGTATGTATGTATGTATGTATGTATGTATGTATGCATGTA